GTTTTGAGAAATATAAGAATAAGCTAGGCACTGACAGTCTTTAAGGCACTTCTTCTTGCATGCTGATTCATTCTCTGATTTATAGAAAGGCAAAGTTGTATCATCCATACTAATCATAGTTTTTGTCAAGAATCTGTCATTAGTTCCTGGGCGACAGATTTCAGACGTTCTCTTGCATCCAGCACTATAATCATCGGGTGAATTAGTAGGTTCAAATCCAGGTAAGCAACTACACATGACTGACTCCTTATTTTCGCTGCAAATCCCAAATGAGCCACACACTTTATACACGCTACAGTTATCTTTGGGCTCTTGCCAATCCAAAACCCATTGAGTTGAATTTTGAGGCCAGCTAAGATATTGTATATGCCCTGTATGGTTCATTACCAACCTTGAGTAAGGCTCGATCACCTGATAACTTTCGTTATATTCTATTCTGCCACCCTCTCTGCAGGAAGAATACGTGTAACACCGAATGATCTTTCGTGTTTGTGTGGTAGTGTTTGACAGCAACAGGAATGCCTGAGAGAAAATTTGATTCTTATCAAAACTTTTCGTCGACATGTTCCCACTTTTCCATCGAAGTGTGGTTGATTCCTCCAAAATGAAGTATCGGTTTGTACCAGGATCTTGCTGGAACTCGAAGCTTCCAGACCCTGGGTCTTCTGGACTTTTCCATGATGTCAACTTTAAGTTATCGACCATTTTCATTCCAGGAAGAAAAGTATCTGTTGGAGTTCGAAAGCTCTGCCATAGTATGCTTCCTGTTACAACATTTATTAATACGGCATTTCCGTTATCCAACAACTTCAGTGCAGTTGAAGAAGCTCCATCTGGCAACCCCATGGTGAAAGTTCGTCAAATTCGCATCAAAATTGAAGGCATACTATCATGGAAATTGTATTAGATAGTGATCAATGTCTATGATCGTTAAAATTAGACAAAACTGGAAGATTGGTCCATGTGGTATTCAAAAAATTTTGGATAAGGTCCAAAAAGTTTTCTACTTGCATAGAAAAGTCCAAAATCAATGTTTTTCTGTGTTTTTGGTCCAAAAAATTTGAAAAGACGATTATACCTTTTTACTTTCTTTTATATATATATATA